TATAAGGTAAGCCCTGAAAAGCTGATTTGCTATTTTAATTGCTGGGGCTACTTCCAATTCAGTTCAGGCACTTTGAACTGAATTCTGATTTCTGGCACAGTAAAACAGTAAAAGAGATCAGAGGAAGTTGTGATTCTTCCCCCACCAAGGCTCTAAAGAAAAAAAATTGCAGAATTTCATTAAGATCAGAGAGGTCAAGTGTTAAGGAATTCTCCTTCCATTCCAAAATTGTATCAGGTTTTGTTTTTTGAAAAGAGCATTCACCAATTCACTAATATACACAAACAAGTGTTCACTTTCTAGTGGCATCACCTAGGTCCCTCCTAGAGTTTATTAGCCTGTTTATCCAGCCATATTCCAAAAGCATCCCCTGTTCTCTGTTGCGATGGGACAGCAGATTGTTCTGAGTTTGAAACACTGCAGAGATTAGGGTGGCAGTCAGTCTCTTGTTGTTTTCCTCAGGTAGGCCAATATCTTTAGTCTCCTGAAACTAGAGATCGTTATGTACTTTCAGGAGTGATGTCATCATTTGCTTGTCTTGCTAACAAAATGCTGATCTTTTTCCTTCAAGAAGCTATATGGGGAGGGGAGCAAGATTACATGGCAGGACTTGAGGTTCATTATTTCAGTAATAATAAAAAGCTTGATTCAGTATTTGTATATTCAGCAACGGTATTATACTCCTAAGAGAATTTTTTACAACAATGCTTCCCAGAACAAGCCTTATATGTTAACAATTTTGTGTTGAATTCTAGCAGGAAAAGTGGTTATACTGCACAGTGAAGGCCAAGGGAATTCTGCCCGTATATGCCTCATTTGCTGTTATATTAACAGGACACAGGAAAATTCTTGATTCTGTTGCAACATCACTTATCTTTGAGTGGTGTAATTACACCGTCAAAATTTTGCAACATAGATTTTAATGCCTCAGTTCACAGTGTTGGCACTCTGAGCAAAATTTTCAAACTCTAAATCTATATTTAATATAGATGGCTCATTTTTCAGAAGAGCTTCCCACTTGCTGAAATCAAGGAAATTGGCAGATGCTCAATACCTTTGTAAATTAGGTCCCTTAACCTCTATTCAAATGCAGCCAGTCCCTGAGTTGCGAATGGTCGACTTACGACCATTTGCAGTTACGAACAAAACTGTCGTAAATGGTGGACCCTGAGTTACAAATGCGATTCACGCTTATGAACAGCGCGGTCGCGTGTAACTCAATGGGGTCCGACTTACGAACAAATTGAGTTACAACCAATTGCTTGGTCCGTAACTGGTTCGTAAGTTGGAGAGAGGCTATATCTCAACTTAGACACCCACATTTGAAAGTCTGTCTTTCTCCTAACTGAATACAGGCAGCCCCTGACTTACAAATGGGTTATGTTCCTAACACCTGGCCGTAACTTGATTTGGTCATAAGTCAGAAATACCCTTAAACGCGCTGCCCACGCTGTTCAAAAAACTTGATGTCTATCACACACATGCAAGGGAGTCTTTGCCCCTAGTTTCAGGAGACAGCAGTCTCAATAGGGCTATTATATCACTTCTATTGGGTATGTAAGTGGAGGGTGAATTTGAAGGAAGGGCTGATCCTATAGCTTCACACTCCACAACACACCAGTCAGCACAGCTGCACTGGCATGCCAGGAAACATATGCTGCAAAAGGTACAGAGCTGGCACTGGGTACATGTCTCCTAGAGCAGGGAGAACATAGGAGATTCAGTGAGATTCTTCACATTACAACCTGATTTCCAGGCTGCTCCTGGGGCAACATGAAATCTTACTGATGCTCATTTTCTCCCATTTCCTTTAGCTATCATTCTCCAGGCCTGTTTGTAGGAATTCATTGATGGCTTTGTGTGTCTCTGCAGAAGATCTGGCCTGACACTTAGTTATTCCAAAATAGCTTATTTTGAAATAGCATGTCTACATTGCAGGGAAGCCTCAAAATTAGTCCAAAGCAGGCTTCCCTAATGTGAATGTGCTATCTTGATTTAGAGCCTCAGGAGAAATAACTTAGAATGGCCCTGGCGAGCAGTTTCAAAATAGCAAACGTGGAGCATCTACACATGCCTTATTTCAAAATAGCTATTTCAGAATAGAATGAGGTTTACAGAAGTTAGAATAAGCTGTCCATTATTTTGAAATTATTTCAAAATAACAGAATTGATGTGTAGACGTATAGTTATTTTGGAATAACAGCTGTTATTCTGAAATAACTTTTCTGTATAGACACATCCTTAGTAGGCAAACAGCAGGAAGATGCTTTCATTTGAGGGTAAGGAAATAATTGGCATTTATTACTCTCTGAGGATGTCTACACAGCAGCATTATTCTGGAAAAAACTGATGTTACTCTGAAATAACAGTGCACATCTACGCTACAAGCCTTTATTTCGAAATAAAGTTAAGTTGGAGGACTTCTTACTCCAATTCATGGTAACCCTCATTTCACGAGGAGTAAGGGAAGTTGAAGGAAGAGTGTTCTTCCTTCGACTTCCTGCTGTGTAGAGACAGTGACAAAAGCCAAATTAAGCTATTTCTTCTTAAGCTGCGCAATTGACATAGCTGAAGTTGCGTAGCTTAATTTGATTTGAGCCCTGCTGTGTAAACGTATCTGAGTGTTGTCCCAGCAGTGCTGATCTTTGCATTGTCAAACTCACACTCTCCACTCCTGTTCATAACTGTGAATGGGGTGACATTGCCAGCCTTTGCCTAGCTGATTGTCAGTTTAAGTCCACACATCACCAGCACAAGCCATATCTGCATTTGGTCTTGGAATATTGTTTGAATGCCAACCTCTCTGTTCCTATGCCAGATTGCAATGGGCACTTGCACCTGAGCAGTCAGCTCACTGACTGAATTAATTCACTTCCCTTTACTTGGTTGAGTGATAGCAGTGTGGATATGTGTACTTTAGTGCTCAATGGAGGGGAAGTACTCCTATTTCTAAAGCCTGACTCAGAGTTTATTTATTTTATGTACAAACTCCAGTTCAGGAACTCGCAGCTACAGATAAGTTATTCAGATAAGAGGTTCTGAATCTTCTGCCATTTGCAGAGAACTTGAAGAATTATGTGTTCTCTAGCTGAGGCAGGCCTTGTTTTATTCCCCCAGTAAATTTGTCTTATAAGCCTTGCAGTGTTGTAGAATTAGGAAACTGGAAAAGTCCACCCACATACCCTGGAGAAGTCAATGCACAAGGTCACAAGGTTGTCATTTAAATGTTACCATTTACCACACAGTTGTATTTAAGATACTGCAGTTATATCCTATGTTTGGAATAGGTTTAGTCCAAGTCCTTAAAAAGTCACCCATGGTAATGCAGATACCACAAGGATCACCTGCTCTAAATAAAGGGGGAAACTCATTGGTAAGAAATATGTAATTCCATATGCAGATTTGTTGATGAAAGATTTGTTGTCCATCATATGTGTGTGGTGGTGGGGGGACACTTTTTAAGTTCATTCTCTGTTTTGCTCCTCTCTGGAAAAAAGTTAAAATAGAATAGCACCATAATGACAAAACTCTAATTCTACCATAAAATGGTAGCAACAAATTCCAGGAACAGTGGTATTTCTAATGCCAATCCTCAATTGGGATGGATTAGAAGAAGAAGAACATATATGGTTCAGCTGAAAAGAAGAGGGAAGGAATGAAAGAAAAATCTCTGCAAGTCAAATAAGTCTGCAGATGTGCTGCATCTGTCTGCTTGCCCACTGGGGACACTGAGATAAAGAGATTAAGACACTTGCACAAAGATGGTTAGACAACAAGATCAAATAAGCAAATTGACAGCTAAGTTGAAGTTAGGTCTGCAGTAATAATATCAAGACTTTGACCCAATTTATTACAAAAATAGTTTGCATTTAATTCATGTGACATAAAACAGTAAAACATGTTAAGAGTGGAGGATAAAAAATTCTAAGAGGGGTTCTGACCTTTGAAAAACACAGATAAATATGTGAACTTCTTAGCAGAATGTATTACAAGAAGTGTGCTCCTTCATTCTGCAGCAAAGATGAAACTGGTATTCACAGAATATCTATTTTGTTTATAGTACTAAAATATAAATATATTCCTGTAAATAATACTCTTTAAATACTTTTAGTGCACATTTTAGTATAAGTGTAGAAAGATGGGAGTAAAATATATGCTTAAAGCAAATGGAGAATGTATTCCTAGAAGAAATACCCTAAGAAAAAAAGGTCTTTAAAAGTAAAAATAGTGCACCCTCGTCACTATAGCCCATAAGGATTTAAGCACCCATTAGAAGATCTGACCTGTAAACGTCACAAGGGTGGATAAAAGTCAGCAAACCCCTCCCTTATCTTTTTTTTAAGTCTTTGTATATTTTTAAATATGTTTGTTTTTGAAAAAGGCTCTAAAAATCAAATCTAAATATTTCTGCACTGTTGTAATTAACTCCAGTATGTTAAAAATAGTAAAAAAATACTACTGATTTTAACATTGACATTGGAAATATTGAGAAATGGAGTCTCATGAGTTATTCATAAGATCGGAATTAATGCAGTCACTATTTCTGGCTCCTGATTAAATACTAGCTTGTAACCTAGTAACACTGGAAATAATGACCAGATGATAATGTTCTGTGAATTGAGTCATTGAAAAGAAGTTTTGATATGTCAAACTGTAATAACACTTGCCCATAGAAATAGTTTTAGATATCCAACCACACTTATGAGAGACAATGTTATACCTTGTCAGTACGAGAATAAATTCAAAGAAAAATTACTCTGAATTATAGATTCATTCATACATTTTTCACAAGGAAAGTTAGTATATCTATGGAAGATTAGAAAGAATTAGCACATTTAAGATAGTTTTAAATGTCAATGTATGGTAGATTAGCTAAGAAATTTGTCACTGATATTTCTGTACAGAATTAATTCACCAGTGATGTTGTGCTGCAGAGCCTCTGACAAAGTGTCAAGCAATACACAAGACAACAAAAGTGTATAAAAATGTGTACCACTCACCAATGATGTCTCATCTTGATAGCGGGGTCAATATAAAATATTAAATCCATAAGAAAATCATATTACTAGCTCTGATTTAAAATTAACACTGCATATCTAAAACAAATACAGATGGTGCCTTCACCAATTGCACAGAAAGTAACTAGTTCCTCAAATTGAAAAAAAAAAAGTTGTGTATAATGTTTTTTGTGCACCAACTCCAGCCTGAGAGAGTATTCATCACTGAAGTGGAGTCAATGAAGCAGAGGAAAAGCTCTGAGTTAGACAACCATCATTCAGTTAATACATAAGGAGGGAAAAAAACTTAATTACTAGCAAGAGGCAAAACCAAATAAAAAGTACAGAAGGGCAAGGAAGCATTAAATGTTAAAGCAGAACGTTGTGTCTGCCACAGGAAAAAAAAAGATTAAAATCAGCCTAGTTCCTAAGGGTAGCCATTAAAAGCACAGAGTGGGAGTGTGCACTACATATATGGATGAGTGAGAAGAAGCAGAGGAACATAGGAAAGGCTAATTTTAATTAACAGAAAGGCTGTGAGATAAAGCATTACCAGTCCCGGTATTGGAAGGCATCGAATTATAAGGTATGCTGCATGTGACTGTGTGTGCCAATTAGGAGCCAGTCAGACCACCAAGCGGAGAATAAAGGAACCAGAAGAATAAGTGCTGTGCGGCTGGAACTGAAAGCTGATTTGAGTCACCTGTGTATTCTAAAGGGGGTGGAGAGTTGGACTTGAGCGAGAGTCCTGCAGTTTCACAGATTAATATAAAGCATTCAAGGGGATTACATTTCAGTTAAACACAGGCACAACAGAGACCCACAGGAAGGAATGGGGGAGGTGCCATAATTTATTTAACTCTTTTTCAATTAAAATCAGATGAATCAGGGGAAATAGAGAAGGAATCCGAGAGAGGGAAGGAAGAGGAACTGCCAGAACAATGACACTAAAACTGCCAGCCCCTAGATTGGCTGCCTGTGTTATTTTTCCAATTACAGCCCCCGTGATCTAAAAATTGAGGAAGAGTGGTGTCTTCGGGCTAACCTTCCGCTCTGTGGCTGTGGGAGGAGGTGAGGAACACCACTCCTGCACTCGGACCCCGCATGCCAGCGGCTCAGGGAAGCAGAAGAGAGTCACCCTGAAAAAAAAACCACACCCTACACAAGCCATAGCGCCCGCGGCAAGGGAAGAGAAAGAGCAACAAGGTGCGGGCCCAGCCGGCACTTTGCAGAAGCCAGCCGCCAGCGAAATAAGCCTATTCCGTGTAAATCCCCAATCCAGAGGCAAAGAGGAGGGGGAGGAGGAAGCCCTGCGCGCTGGGCAGAGACGGAGCCAAGCCCCGTTCCCTGCTGAGCTGGAGAGTGAAGGATTTATTTTTACCCCCTCCCCCTTCCCCCGGGCACAGGGTACCTTGAGCCCAGGGACATGCTAAATGCACCTCTTCTGCAAGAGGTAGTGAGGAGGCGCTGGGGAGAGACATACACACACGCGCGCGCTCTCCTACACTCCGCTCGCCCGGAGGACCCAGCCAGTCAGAGGCGGAGAGCGAGGGGGAAGAGCGAACACATTGGAGGAGAAATCGCTGCACAGCAAAGCACCAGCCAGAGGAGGTGCTTCCCCTCTCTCCCCATATAACCACCTCGCGCGCAGGGGCAGGCAGAGGCGGCCGGAGCCCCGGCAGCAGCAGCAAAGGGCGCCCTGCACCTGGATCGCCTCAGCCCTGAGCGCCGAGGAGGCAGGGCGAGCCGGAGGGCTCCCTCTGGATTGTTGGCAAAGAACTCCGCGAGTCGCCGCTCCCCGCGGGCTGCGCCCCAGCAGGGGCGGCTGCTACCTGGGCGTGCTCGGGGGCCGCCGGGAGGATGGGAGACTGAGAGCCGGGGGCAGAGCGCGCTTCTTCCTCAGCGGCGGTAAGTGGCCCGTGCCGTCCCTCTAGCCTCCCCCGCGGCTCCCTGACTTTTGAGTGTCTCCAAGTGATTTGTTCTCAGAGCCAGCGGCGTCTCTCCGGAGGCAGATGGAAACCAGCCCCGGGCGCACGCGAACCGTGCCGGGGTCCGCTGGTTTGGGGTTTGGTTTTTTGGGGGAGAGAGAGTGGGGGACAGGTGGCTCCATAGGGTCCACACGATCATACTAGGAACAAAAAAGTTGGAGCAGGGATGAGGCGCTGCAGCTTGCCTGCCCGTCATTCGGCTGAACGGCAAACTAGCGCTGCGCCGGAGTTGCTGAAGAGAGATGTCAGCTGGCCAGAGCCAGTCGGTGTTCTAGAGGCAGGCTGCCTGGGCACATTTCTGCCGCTTTGGAGGTGTTACAATAGAGGGGGAAGCCGAGGATAACCCGGTCTCTTGCTCTTGACAGTTGATTGTCCCGCTGAATAGCAGCAGCAATGCACCTAAGCGGACTTGTGGTGAAGTTCAGAATGATACTTGGCGAGAAGATAAACAATCCCCTCTAAATAATAGGCAGGTCCTGTTCCTGAAACCTATTCCAAAAATTATCAGACTAGAAAAGCAGAGAGAGTTGCATCCAGATGCACGGATTTTTTTCCTCTGGTGATAAAAACTGTGAATGAGGGGATCTTGTGGACCGTTTATGAGCAGGTTTGAACATAATCTGAGAATTATTCCCGTAGTTTGCAGTAAAGTATTATGGTTCTTAAGACTTTTATCTCAGAAAGAATCAGCATCTATTAGGTCTATTATATGTATTCAGAGTTTCACTTTTTCTCCTCCTGATCACAGAAACTGCCTAAAATCATATTCCAACATGATGCGATGTGGCCACTTGGACTCAAAGTTGTCTAGTCTATGAAAACTTTTAGAAATATGCCACATACATAGTTATATTTACTTCTTCTTTTTAGAAATTACCACTGAACATCCTCTATATGCATTTTAATATTTTTATCAACTAACTAAGGACTGGTCTCAAGACCTTATAAATTCAGCAAAGTCTTCTCATTGACTTCATTAGGGCTTGGGGCAGACTTTGAGGTAGCATCCCTAAAAACAAATAATCTGTTCACTGAGTCCCAAAAGCTGAGGTGAAATCCATACAATTAAGAATTTGGGTGACATTTTAAAAATAATGATGATGCATGCAATTAATTATTTCTGAATTACAGTAGAACTCACCCAGAAGTGCATATGACAATTTATATTAATGTTAAATGGGTTCATCATGATTACTATTAGTACAGTGAATATCAAAGGAATTAGCAATAAATAGACTAGTTTACAGTGTTACCAAAACGTCTCTAACAATTTGTAAATGGCTCATTCACATTTCTCCTTTTTTCACTGGTTTTTCCCTCAGCATTGCATTTATCTGAAAACAAGTGAACAAACTTTCAATGTCTATTCTGCATCTAGAAAAGAACTTGCTTACTAAGGATGAATAAACTATCCAGTGTGAAGGATAGAGGATTGACAATGATCAGAGAAGAAAAATGAATTCATGTACAAAGGCTGTGTGTGCCAGTTTAGGTTTAACACAATAGATAAATTAAGAAATGGTAGTAAAGAAGACAAGGTATTAGAAGTCTACAGCATAAGACAGGGGAAGGAAGAAAGAATAAGGAATAGAAACAATTTTTAAAGAAATCTAGCGCTCTTCAAGTAAAATCAGAGAAAATCCAATAATGAACAACATTCAGTTATTTTGTTCCATATAGCACAAATGCCCTTACAAGGACTCAACAGAACCTCTATAGTATAAGTCTTATATATGCATGAAGATAACTGCAGATGAGCAGGAGAACCAGAATGAACAATTTGCTCTTGTTCATTATAAGGCAATTGAAGGTCACCTTTTGTTGGTTGGAATAACATTTACAGGAGGGAGATGCTAATTGGACTTGAAGAATAAGAGCAAATACAATAAGAATGGTATTAGAAATGTGGAGGACCAAGGTGGCCAAATGATATCCCAGAACTTTCTAGGAAATTTTCTAAAATGTTGCTAGGAAAGTAGGTTGGCTTTTGGAAAAGATAGGTCAATATTTAAGATAATAGGAACAATAAGGGAAACAACTTCTTAAAAGATGAGAGAAGAATCACTGCAGGAAAATAATAGCAGAGCTAGGTAACTTTAAGAAATGTGCAACTTAGTGAAGGATTCTCAGCAGAGATTTGCTAAAGGAAGGTCATGAGCGGCAAAATGGTTTGAGTTCTTTGAATAAGTTGTTGACATGGTAGTCTATTGGGGAATCAGTGGGTATGATTTATGCGGGTTTCAAAAAATGTCTAGTTTTGTACTTCAGGAAAATAAAGTAAATTTTATTGCAAAGTAAATTTTGAAGGTATTTGAATGGGTTCAAATGCATTTGGACAAGTAAGGTTTTCAGTAAAGAGTAAAGAGCTCTTGGATGACTGAAGATGGAGGTTAAAAGCATGGTGCTGTATGTAACAACACAAGGTTCACTTTTCTTTTTCTATATATGAAAAATGAAATATTAGACAGGGGAAAATATGCTAACAATACAGAAAAAAACCCAAGGCAGGAGTCTACCAGTTGAACAAAATCAACAAATGGAAATTTACTTAGCTAGATTAGTCATTGAAGCAGTTATTAAAAGTAGCTAATGCAAAGCAAGGTAACAAAGTATGCATTAGTAGTACTCTGTAAGCTAGTATTGAGGCAACTAAGATGATTGTCTTGGTGACTTTGCTAAAATAGCTCTTCTTAATATTGTCTTTCTGTTTCCAGCCTGAAACATGGATCTTGATTCCTCCAAATGCATAATGTTCCACTGTTGTTCAGCTCCTTCCATATGCTCCTATTAACAGCTTGCATGTTACACGTTCTGTCAGTTTCAGAACAACTTATATCATGTCAGCCATTTCTCATAGTTGATAACACAAAACAATAATTTGAAAGCTGCCAGGCTTCTATACTGAGGTCCTAATGCCAGAGAAAGCATGTCCAGTAGGACAGTTGGCTGCTATGCTGATGAGAGTTTCAGACTTGATTTTTTCTCTTTTGTGTATGACTTTTTATGATGCTTTATTAGGAACTGCTTCAATGTGTATTATCAACTTAGCATATAACAGGAAAAGAATCCAATTGGAAATGGTAACATCCCTACAGAGTTCTAGTTTTCCGAATGTTAGTGATCAATAACTCTACATTCGTGGCTGGTACATGTATTAAAAAAAAAGACACAATTTTTAGAGCTCCATAAAATACAAACATTTTTACTTTAGTTTTTTGTTTTAAAAAAATTCAAAGCCTGTAAAAAAACTTTGAATAATGATCCTTTGCCCCGAGAAGGTTGTTAGTAGCATGAAAGCATGTTCTTGATTCAGCAGAAATAAAAGTGTTAGTTTATATAAGGAGTTTCTTGCGGGATTTATGGAATTATCCAAAAAAAGTAGGAATACGAATTTAAAAAGTGGACTCTGTCACAGAGGGCTTCTTAGAGAGATTTCAGGATGATTTCTTATTGTAGTTTTTTACAAGTTAGCAATGAAAGCTTTAGAAACATGGACTGGATGTAAAATAAAGAAGTAGACTCATTGTTAGTAAAATATTGATTGTTCTCTGAATTATTTTCCATGTGGTAGATGATATTCTTGATCATCTTTAGGCAAACTTCAGCATGTGCAAAAGGGCTGGGCCCCTGTCATGCCCCACCATAACTGTTTGGCAACAGTCTGCCTGCACAGATCATGAAGCAGAATTAAGGCTCAGTTCAAGCATTTGTATTCATTAGTCTTCATTATTATGGCCACACCCTTATGTCTGCCCCAGGATCACCTTTTTGAACTTCAGTCTAGAAAAAGCACTAATTCGTCTCCTCACCCATCACTGGAAAGCATTTATCAGAAATGTTAATTGAAATTCTTCTCCTTTTCAGGATCCAATATAGAGTATCTCTTCTGACTTAAAGATTGTTTTCTGTGAAATTACAGCCACTGTAAGCCATCATCCTCATTCATTCTGTATCCCCTATTTGTTTCTATTTCTTTGATTAGGAGACAATAAGAAATGACTAATAAGAACATAAAAAAAACCCAAAATGTAATAACATTTAACATTTGTTTGAAAATGTATTTCTTTGCTTCATTGTTTTTGTAGCATTTATCACATTACAGCTGTTACAAAAATAAGACTTGTGGGGGAAATGCATACAAATTACCTATGTCAAAAGAAGGTAGCATAAAAACTAAAACCACAACTCCCATGAATGTCACCTACAAACTGAAGGACCTGTTAATGGAGATGATAATATAGTGATCATAGTTGAAATTGTAGCATCTGCCAAAAGTTCCCCCACAGAATTTTACTGTAATTAGAAAAGGAAATCTGTAGTCTGTCAGCAAATATTGCCTTTTTATCAGCCATTGCTGTACTTGATATTTATATAGCTCTTTTTATAGCTCACTTGTAGCCAGTTTTTCAGAGAAAAATGAGAGCTGAACAATTTTGAAAATCTGGCTACAAATGTGTACAATGAACACTTTTGAAACTCTGGCCACCTATGGGCATGCTGAAATGGGAATGGAGCGCTTCTGAAAATCTGAACATTTACTTTCCAAGTATTCATCTTTGCAATGTTTACCTCTCAGTCTATACTACACCAATTTTTTACACATTCATTTTAAGACAATCTCCATTTCAAATTAACAATCAAAAGTGGAACAAACTAAACAAACCAAAATTTAGAGTAAGCCAACTCAAAACTAAGCCAATTAACCAAATGCTAGCAAATGTAATGAGCCTTACGTCATATCTGAAATCCTCTCAAACTCAGTTTGGCACACTACCATGAAGAACAAATTCCAAAGCAGGGGTCTTTTCTTAGAACACTATGCTGCTGGCTGTAAGGAGTCTTGAACTTGGTTTTATGAACAAATCTAACCAACCATAATTTTTGTAATGGAATTCAGGATGAGAATTAGCCACTGATACG